TGGGTGATCCTATGGGAACCAAGATAGCATTGCACAAGGCAGTACCGGAGCGCACGATCCTCTCCAATGGATCAGGATGACAATTTGCAGGGGGAATAAGTAAGATTTGAGTTATAACACCTAAACTGCACATAAGAAATTGTATAATCCTGCTGTGCACTAGGTGGAATCCACAATGACTGATTTATTTTTGCCTCTGATACATGCCTTGATACCATCCTTTGAGTTTCACTTCACTGTACCTCTGCACTGCCCCCTTGGCTCTGTCCTGAGTATCTCTCGTGAATTCCCATTTCCATAATTCAAAACTACTAAATCTTGCTACACCAGCTCTTGACTTGCGTAGCTGTTTAATTACAGAAGTACAAGCACACCATGTCCTTGATTGCTTGTTTTGACCACTTGTGTTTTCTTTTGGGACTGTCATCAGTACTGCTCCTGTTTTTTTAAAACAAAAAGTCATCACTGTCAGGAGTTTGACCTTTTTATCACATCCAAAATTGGTTATTCGCTTGTCTATTCATAGGAACATAGCTGTTTCTGTTTACTCCTATTCATATTAATTTTATAATTATGATTGCTGACTTTATAAATAACCTGCCTATATTAGCGTTTAAACTATCCTTTTAATTGGTCTGTTTCCCATTCTATTCTTGTCAACTGAATGTAAAAAAGTTGCTGGAGTGGTTTTGTATGCAATGAACTGTCAGAGAAAATGGTGGATGCATGAACAGTTACAACATTGAAAAAACATTTGGATAAGTATGTGAACAGGAAAGGAGGGATATGGGCCAAATGCAGGCAGGTGGGTCTAGTTTAGTTTGGGAACATGGTCCGTATGGACTAGTTAAACCAAAAGGTCTGTTTCCATGCTCTATGACTATGACTAGCCTCCCTCCTGAAAACTTGCTGGTTCCAGCAGGTCTAAGATCGAATAGATAGTTAAATATCAAAGTGGTTGAATGCACCAGCATGTACATGCCTTAAATATTTTATTCTAATTAGGCAAAAGCCACTGGAGAATTCTCAGGTAATTCTATCACCTTGGACTTTAACTTTTGACTACTTTGGCAACAGAGAAGAATGGACAATTGAAACAGTCATCATTACTGGAAGTTCCCCTCCAAGCCACATGTGATCCTGACTTGGAACAATATAACTATGGGCATCAAATCCTTGTCTTGCCAGTGATGCCCACAGCTCTTGAATGAACCAAATTCACACCCATTGAGTATAGGGAGAAAAACTCAACATATAGATGGTTATGGTGACATTCTGAGCTTGATCAAAGTTTGGCTTATGAGTGTTAGCACTTTCCCTTTTATTGATGGCTATACTTGTTTACTTGTCCATTCAAACTGCTGTGCTGACAGCATGTCCGTTATCACCTTGGGCCTCCAGCTACAGTTCTGAAATTGTTATGGACGGGTGAGGGGTGTATTTATTCCAGTCCCTCTGTCCATAACCAAGGTATTTTAGTATTTCCCTCTTCTTGAAAGAGGGTGTTTTTATTAGCTTGTGGGACGTGGACGTTGCTGGCTGGCCAACATTTACTTCCCATCCCTAGTTGCCCTGGAGAAGGTGGTCTTGAATCATTGCAGTCCATACTTTAGGTAGACCCACGATGCTGTTAGGAAGGGAGTGCCTGGATTTTGACCCAACAACATGTTTCCACCAATTCCTCTGTTTGTGAAGAAAAGTTTTTAAATAATCCTCTTTAGGGTTATATCAAAGTATGGTTTATTTGTGCATTCAAACTTGGGAGATGATTGCATCTGTGGTTTTTATAGTAATATTATGTAAAGATGTTGGAGATCTAAAATAGAAACAAAATGCAGTAGAATGTCACCACTGGCGGCATTTGTGGAGAGAGAAACAAAACTAATATTTCATGTCTGATATTTGTTGTCTTCTGAAGAAGAATTTTGGTTCCAAAGAAGTCACATTGGACTTGAAATGTTAACTGTTTCTAGTTTCTAAATGAGTGAGGACATGGTACAAATCCCTGTAGCACTTCCAAGTTACAGCCTTTTATTCCCCTGTGGCCTGTTAGCTAAACTAATCCTTTGATCCATGCTGATATGTTATGCCTTGCACCTTAGTTGAGGAAAACCAGTATGGATTTGATGATGGTAATCATATTCAATTATTTTGATTTAGTGTTTGATGAGGTAACAAAGGACTATTGGATGTGATGTAGTTAGTATGGTGTCCAAAGACATTTTAATGGAGGGTAACACTTGGTGTGTTAGCATGGTCCAAGTCCGTGGAATAAAACTTCGTGCATCATGGACATTGCTTCCTGTTATGCAGTTGACTTAGACACTAGTAGTGAATGGTCGTTTTTCAGATTGGAGTAAGGTTGATAGTGAGATTTGCATACTCCAACATATGCCTGCTTTTCTGATTATTTTGCATATCAACAATGAAGGAACTTATTGCATATTATGTAGTACAATCTCTTGCTTTGTAACAGTTCACTTGGGGAGACTGAGTTGCTGTGGCAGCAGGCAGTTTAGATGCATTTTGCAATATGGAGCTGTTGATGGTGATGTTAAAGCTCCAACTTTCTTTTCTTCACACGTCTGATCAGGAATCTTTCCCAGTTTTACCACCTACCATTTTTCACAAATGTTTGGTCACGTCACAGATGCACTAATTATTAAACGTTGAGTCCTAGCTGTTGTGATATGATTACACATATGTTTAAGGGGTGAATCTTAAACTACTGTCAATCATTATACACCGCAATAGAATATGATGTAATGTGCAGTGTTAGACCAGAGTTTCTGCTAACGACCTGCAGCAAATCCTTGTTGTGTTCAACTTGGCTAGAACTGTCTATTTTAGAATATTAATTGCCTGGTCTCAAATGTAAAGAATGTCTACTTGAATGGCTTCTACTTGAAAGAAGAACCAGCAGATGATTGTTGCATACAAGTTAATTACAAGTTGTTAGGCAGCTTGAGCAGCAGTGATAGGACTGAGATGAACTATAACATCCAATAAATATTATCTGTAACCAGTCATATCTTTAAATACAGAACCCACATTATTGTTTCACCAGTCCTCATTTGTGATTTTGCATTTATATCTAAGAACTTTTAGGTGAGACACCACAAGACTACTTTTACAAATACCATCATCAAATCCATACTGGTTTTCCTCAACTAAGGTGCAAGGCATAACATATCAGCATGGATCAAAGGATTAGTTAGCTAACAGGCCACAGAGGAATAAAAGGCTGTAACTTGGAAGTGCTACAGGGATTTGTACCATGTCCTCACTTATTTAGAAACAGTTAACATTTCAAGTCCAATATGACTTCTTTGGAACCAAGATTCTTCTTCAGTTCAGAAGACAACAAATATCAGACATGAAATATTAGTTTTGTTTCTCTCTCCACAAATGCCGCCAGTGGTGACATTCTACTGCATTTTGTTTCTATTTTAGATCTCCAACATCTTTACATAATATTACTATAAAAACCACAGATGCAATCATCTCCCAAGTTTGAATGCACAAATAAACCATACTTTGTTATTTCAGTTTATTCTATGTTGCATGTTAAAAGGGATCTGGATTAATTCACTGAATGTGCTAGTTAATTGCCATTCTGATTTTTAACACAAATAAATAATATTGCATTAAAATGTTTGCACAAAATACTAAGTTTTGTGAATTTACATTTAAACCTTCACTGATGATTTTAAACAAATTATGGTTACAGATTAACTGAGCACTGGCATAATCAATGTGAAGCTGTTATCAGTAAAGTTAATAGACTACTCGATTGGAGCTGGAGGCAGGTTATTCTAGTCTTGAATAGGGAACTGTGCCACCAAATGGAATTTTGAACACATTGCCTTCAAGCAGACCTTGATGCTTTCGAGAAGATTGAAAGAAAAACAAGGAAAATAACTTCATGACTTAGTAGATATAGGAAAAAATGTCTCTTGTCTGAGTACCAGCTATACAAAAGAAACTGAGTGAATAGTGTTACTTCAAGAAAGAGCTGGATAGATAAAAACAAGTTGGAGGAATAAGTACTGTACAAACAGTAAGCAAACTGCATAGAACAAATAATTCCAGAAAATTAAATGATGGGATAAAATAGTTTTAACTTAATTGAGCCTAAATTTTGATCTTGTATCTAATAGTGGAGAAATAACATAATCCTTCAGAAATGTAGAAACTTGCTTTACTTCATAATTATCATTAATAAACAGATTAAATTATACCTTGTATATTGATGTCAAGTATTAATGCATCCTATTAGTTAATCCATCAAATTATATGCCTTGAAAATTACATACTTTCTCCTGTTTACTTATACCATTAACTGAACAAGGAATTTAGTAAATGCAGCAAGTTCCATTAGAATCTTTAGTGTCAAATATTAAAATGGTTGAACATCACTTAATGCCATAAAGATTGGGAAAACTGATTGTAGATCCAAACTAGTATATATGATCCTGACCTTTTAACTGTCCTTTATTGGTAACTCAGAAGAATTTAATATTTTTCCAGAAAGTAATGTAATTGTTTGAAACTGGTTCTGCACATCTGTTTCCTGGAGAACTTCATGTAGAAGTAGAATCTGACACATTTAACAGAGACCAGTCAAATGTAAAATTGAGAATTGGGTAAACTAATATTGAGTGCAAGTACATGAATACCCATTGATTAAGCAGGATGGCTTTTATTTAACAAAAACAGAGAGCTGGAGAAACTCAGTAGGTCTGGCAGCAACTGTGGAGAGAAAGCAGAGTTAACGTTCTTGTGACCCTTCTTCAGAACTGAGCTTTTATTAACATTGAGCAAAAAAAACAAGTGGAGGCAAGAATAGATGAAACTAAATTAACAGCAATACTCATGTTTCAGGAGGTATTTTTTTTGCTCAAAACAATTAGTAGTTTTTGTACACATGGTTAATTTTAAGCCTGTTATTCAATAATTTATTAAACATTTGACCAACTGAATTTTTTTTTAAATTACAGATCAGCCGACAATCCATTGATGCTTTGAAAGACTGGTTCAGAGATGAGATGCAAAAGTCTGATTGGCAGCTTGTTATGGAACTGAAGAAAATATTTGAAATTATCTAAATAATGCAGTTTATTTTCATTTAAAACTTCAGCAGTGGGAGGACTGATTGTGATTTAAGGTCTGTGCTTGAACAGGACCTATTATTAAGCCACGCTGGAATGCTGAGAATCAGAATCCAGAGTAAAAAGTGGTTATAGTTAGTAAACGTTTTCCATGACAAACCAAAACTCTTGCACTGGTTTGACAGTGATAAGTTTTACATATTCGTACAGTTCTCAATGTGCCTGTTCTTTTTCTTCCTCTCCCTTAGTTCCCTATACTGGCTGCTATTTTTAAATTTCCCTTCCATTACACAGAACTTGTAAGCAGTGCTCCCTGATTCTAATTTTAATTGTATGAAATAATGAATAAAGTATTTGAATCCTGTGTGCTATAGTGCAGAAGCAGTGTACAGCCTTTTTGACAAATAATTTTGGGTATAGAGAAGTTTTCTCTGTTCCAGGAGCTGCTTTTCTCAGCTACTTCATGACGCATACCCTGCTTTTGTGCCTATGAATTTTTATAAAGAATTAGGTAATAGGAGAATTCCACCTGCATTGTGAGAAAAATAACAAAGCAGCCTTGTATTGCTTGTACAGTTGATGGTTGTGACCCACACTGTAAACTTTCAAAGCTGAAATCACAAATAAAGCTGAAGATGATGAGATTTACATTCCTGATATCTTACCTTTTCAAAATCAACTATAATTGATAGGTAAAGTTATAAAATGGTGGCTAATTCATGTGCAGAAATAAGCACATTGTTTTTGTATATCACAAAAGATAGCCAGATTAGTTACAGCAGTTCAAATAATTTCATTATGTATTATGCAGGACTCTTGTCTGTTCAACTGAGGATGAATCAAATGGATACGAGGAATTAATTTGGAATTAGAGACGTTAGCTGTGATTAACTTTGCTTTATGCAGTTTTCTTTCATTGTTCTACCCTAATGTTTCTGCTGTTCTAGTTTCCCAATTGTTTTCTTTATTTCCTACTTAAAATGGCATTGACAGAAAAATATTCTTCTATTAATTTAACCAAAAATTTAGCATTCTGTCTGCCTGAAAAACAATGTTCCCATTCAGTGGGAAGCCTACACCGTCTGTGACAAACATCCTCTTCCATGTCTGGAAAGCAATCTTTCTGTTTTAGAAGCTTTAAAAGGGATCAGTGAGAGTGAAGGATTTTACCTCCAGTCTTGTTCTTCAGGTGGATCTACTATTATTGTTCAAATTCAGCCGCTAAAAATTACTCTCCTTTCTTTCATTTATCAATTCCTGAATCTTTCTCTTGGAATTTATTTTCACTGCTTTTTCCATTCTACCCAATGCTAATTCCTTCCGGTGCTTTGAAGTTAATTGGTCAGTTTAGAGCTCTGTTTTGTAACAGGACTTCACTGTTATAAGCCAGATTTGTGTGATAATCATAAGAGTAAATATTTTTATCCTATTTTCACCAGGCTCCTTAATGTTCTTAACCAATTTTATGTACTTGTGAAGATGTCAATAAATTAGGTTTCTTGAATCATGCCAGTAGGCAGCTAATAGGTAACGTTCATGTGCTTGTGCAAGGAAATAGGAACAGGAGAAGACCATATGGCCTGTCAAGCCAATATGATCATGGCTTATCTTGGCTTTGAACTCCTCTTAATTCCTGCTCAAGATGTGCCCTCTTTTTCTAGACTTTCCAGTCAAGGGAAAAAATGTCTCGTAGGTCCCTGCCAAGCCCGTTCCTAACCTTGAACATATTAATTAAATTACTACTTATCCCTCTAAACTTTATGGTTCTTATTTTCCAATCATGGGACAGAGAAAGACCTACTATTTCAAGTCCAATCTTTGAAGAGTCATATTGGACATGAAATGGTTACATACTTTCTCTACAGATGTTGCCCAGACTTGCTAACTTGCTTCAGCACTTTGTACAAAATTTTACTGTCATTAAAAACAGTGCTTTGCCAGAGAATGTCTGTCTCAACTGGTGATTTTTGTAAATGGTGAAAATGGCTGACTGTCCATATGTAATCCAAGAAAGGTTCCTGTATAGCTGCCCTACTGATTTATATGCTCAAAGAAATTCTTAATAAATTTGTCAAACAGCATTTCCCTTTTGCAAGGGGCTTTTCTAAGGGCATTGTTAAAGACATTCAAATCAACTGTGAGGAATTCCTGAAATAAGATTCTCCATGGGGGTGTCTTTGCATTTGAATGCACATTAATGCCATTTCATGATGACAGTTCCATTACCCAACTGGCACCATTTTGGAGCAGCCTCTCCTGTTCCCTTAGGGGTCTATGGTGTAAAACTATAAGGTTATCTTGAACAGGTATAAGACAATAGTTCACCCTCAGCAAGAGTGTTGCAAACTGTTGTTACTGGAAAACTTTTTAACAAGGTTGCAAAGACATTGGAGTGTAGCAGAGTTGTGTTCTGAACTTGAACAATTCTGTGATGCAAGTGGATGCAATTGAAAACACAGCAATACAATTCTTGTAGTCTGGGAATTAGTTCATTGCTCAGGCAACTACAGGGCTCACCTTGCAAATCAGATGTGTGCTTGAGGTGTTAACTTGAGCTTGGAAGTGCTTGCTGTTCAGCATCCAGCAGTAATTAGTTACTCAAAGATCAGAGGTTCAATTTTTAAGTCAAGTTCGGAAAGCATAGAAGAAAAATGTGTTTGCTTAATGAGGTGAGTGACAACCCAGGTCATCAAGTCTGCGTTTGACCCAGTGTGACATCAAGTTCCTAGCAAAGCTGGAATCCATGGGGAAAAACTCTTTGCTGGTTTGAGGTCAGTCACCTGTTGTTCAGAACATCTCTGCAGAACTTTACATTAAGGTCAGAAGTGGGGATGTTTGCCATTGATTGCATAATGTTCAGCACCATTTATGGCTCCTCAACATCCTTGGAGTAACTATTGATGAGCAACTCAACTAGACTCCACAAACACACTGGCTAGGAATACCTCCTGAGTGCAGCACCAACAACCCTCAAGAAGCTTAACACCATGCAGGACAAAGCACCCGACTTGATTGGCACCATATCCACACGATTCATCCTCGTCCACCACCGATGTTCAGTACACAGATCTGCTACTATTGATAAGATGCACTGCAGAAATTCAAAGATCTTAGACTACACGTTCCAAACCCACCTACGTCTTGAGTGAATAAATATAGATTGAATGTTGTTTTCATTAACTTTTAAATCAATTAATCAATACCTTATGTCCATACCTGTTCAAAACTAAGATCTATGCATTCATTAGGAGAGTGCCTAATGTGAAATGGTAATGAAGGAGTCCCCTTCTCCCAATCATTGAAATATTCTGGGCAATCAGCTCTAATCACAGTCTTCAAATTTGATGCCATCTTTCCAATGCACCTTGAGATTGTGGGTGATGCACAAAAGATGTGAACTGTTTCAACTCTGAACTAGTCATAATTTCTTAAACTTTGATCTGATGTATTTCTTTGGGTAATCCATAATGTAAAAAAAGGACTAATAGTTCCACTATTTTTGCAATAATTTTTGCTAAAGGCAGGAAGACTTCAGGAAATATCTCTAATTTTCAAAAGAATGTTTTATTATTTTAGCCTTGTTTTTCAAAATTTTAATGGTGGGTTACTTAGGTATTTCATTATGCTACCCAGATGGATCAGTCTGTTCCGCATTGACTGGTATTTGAGGTTGTCTCCACTTCCATACTAAGACTTCATATTATTTTTGATTCAGTTTGGCTGTTTTGTATAACTTTTTCAATTCTAAATCTGTTCGTTGCATTTCTAGTGAAGATGAAAATAAATAAGCTTCTTCATTCTGTTGAATTAAATTTTCAAAAATTATATCCAGTAGCTGGATTTCCAAGTAATCATCTTGTTTTGTAGATACCTTTTCTTGTCTGATTTTACAAGCCTGTCATCTACTGGCAACAGTCTGGAAGTTACTGGGAAGTCATTTTTCAGTTTCTTTTACCTCCATGCTTGTTCCACCACCTTTTGGTGAAGCCAGTAGTTTTGAATGAGTCAAGTTATTTCTCTCTATAGGATAAAAGCAAAATATTGTGGATACTGGAAATCCCTAAACAAACACAGACCATGCTGGAGAAACTTGGCAAACCTGGCAGCATCTGTGGAAAGAAAGAGTTAAAAGTTTCAAGTCTGGTTTGACACTTCAGAATTCTCTATAGGGAATTTGTTCCAGTCTTCTAACTACTGCTTCTCCATTTGTCATATCACTGATCTGTACCTCGTTAATATTTTCTCCTTTTTTTAACCCCTCTGAAAGACAAATAGTATCACCAGTCAGCAATCAGTGCCTGACTTTGTCCAGTGATTTGATTTTCCTTGTTCATCTGTCCAAAAAAAAAATTTCATAACTGTCCTGACCAATCTTTCCCCTCTTTAGTACATGTTGACTTTGTACCAATTTCCTTTCCTGATGCCTCCTTATCTGGAGGTTAGATTTTCCTATTACTGCAGTGGATCTCGCATTTAATTTCCAGCAATTGGTATTGGGATAACAAAACTTATTGCAACTTTTTGTTCCCAACCTTTCTCCTTTATTACTCTGATGTTCCTTTGTCAATTCCCAACTTACATTCAGAGAGTCTAATTTTTGTTTCTCTTAAAAGAACATGTTAGCTGTGAACCAGTTAACTCCAAAGAGGTTAAACTTTTCAATTCTGTTTTCTTCCATTTCAAGTTTTCTTCGTTGTCCTCTCTTTGGATCCATTTCTCTTTCTCTAAGTTCAGTTTGTTCATTTCTAACTGTGACATTCCAATTTCTTCCAATTGTACAAACACTATCAGCATCTTATCCTTACAAGACCATGTTTTTACTTCTGCCTTCAATTTCTCTGCCAAATCTATAATCGCAGAAAGCTTCATAACATGGCTTCTTTAACAACTGGAACCACTCTGTAGTTGTTACTTTGACAAGAAACA